TTCTAAAGGTAAAGAAAAATAAATATAACATAAATCTCTTCTAAAAACAAAACTTTTCTCGTTAAAAAAGTTTTTTTTTTTTTTTTTTTTTTTTTATAAGAAATCGATTTGATCGTCATACACATGGTACAGTCAGCATCCTGCGATTCCGGACTTCGCGTACGGTAATCTCGCGATCCGTTCTCCGAGACGTGCATAAATCTCGTCGGAGAGAAAGAGAGTGAGAAAGGAGAGAGAAGGATGGGGACACCTGTGGCATGCTTTCCATCAAAGTCACTCACCGATCTAGCGTTCTCTCGCTAGAATGTCCACGGCAAACGGTCCACGTTAGAAATTTACTTTGAGAGCGACGTTTTATAAGAAAAAGATCTCTCTCTCTCTCTCTCTCTCTTTCTTTCTCTCTCTCCTCTCTTATTTATAAATTTATATAAAAATTAGCATTTCTTTTCTAACAAACATGCAACACGGGCACGACGAATATGTTATACGAAATATCTAGGAAGTATTACGTCGCGAGCGCATATCAACATAGATCTCCAAAACATTGAGCACGAAATGTTTTTATGACCTCTCGGGGTTATCTTTCTCCGCGCGGTCTCTATTTCATTTTATCAAAAAATGACGCGCGCTACAGAGAATTACTTATTCTTTCTTATTCATCTTCTATTCGTGTATTCGGTTATTTTTGTACATATGGAAGTGTTGTTTACACCGAGAGAGCTTCGTCATATACATCGATTGCTCACACTTCGAACAACACTTTCATGTGTCAAATGTGACAAAAATAAATAATGAAAAAGTGCACAAATTAATTATTTTTACAATATTGCGTTACGATAAAATATATTGTACATCGCAACCTCGCAAGTACATCTAGCCTCTCGTAACTCAACATTCAAGAACATACGTCTTGGAGAGCGAGTTACAGACGCGCGGAGAGTCCACGGACGATACTGTAAATATCCGCGAGCGTATGTACATATATATATATGTATACATACGCAGCGCGGCGGAAAGTCTTACGATCGATCAAGTCTGCTGCGAACGCGGTCAGAGAGATAGATAGATAGATAGATAGAGAGAAAGAGAGAGAGAGAGCGAGAGAGAGAGAGATGTTTCATAATTTCCGCGGCCGGAGGCCACACGCACTCGCCGCTTCATCGAACGCTGACATTTCTTCAGGGAGATCCGCAAATATCGCGACGCGTCCTTTACTTAGCCACGCATCGCGGTATTCGCGGACTCCGCCGCGAGCCGTCCGCTATTTAAAGAGAATGGAATGCATTTACCGCAGCGGCGGCGGC